TATTATTAAATGCTATTTGTTATTACCTACTTTTCGTGCATTGGAGGCAAAGAGAGCCGCCTGGCATCCTGCCCAAGCGCAAGGAAGATCGTGCATACTACAGAGAAAGCAGTTGAAGCGAGCAGGCAAGGAGGCCTGATGAAGCAGAATCAGTACTTGGAGCAGAAGAAGACATTGAACGGATGCGTGCATGCAGTGGAAGTGGATGCATGCATGCAGTGGGAACTGGAGGTCTGTATGGCGTTTTGGTTATGGTCCATTGAACAAAGGCATCGGCAGCGGCGTTGAAGGCGCCGCTGGTTTGAGGGGGAGCGGGAGATACGTTCTCAAATCCCGCCCGTTCATGAATATATTAGAATTCGTGAATATGCAAACAAATAACCGCTCATTAATTAATTACATACGCATGCAAACAAATCAAATGTAGTTCGTTCCGTTGCTTTCAACCGACCGCATAGACCAGCAGGCGCTTTCTCCTTTGGGAGTTTCAAGTCTGTGCAGTTTTCATTGCTCATTCTCTGCTGTTTGTTTTGTTAACCCCTTCAGTGACAAGAGGAAATATATGCATGTGTAGGGGAAACAGATACTGTTGTTCGTCAGTTAGTCATTGAATTCACAAAGGAAGAAAGCACATAGGCATATTGCATATTTAGGCCTTGAATAGCGCGCCTATGTTCGCTTGTAAGCAACACAGTTGGCTAGCAGGGAGACGTTTCATATATATTTTAGAGAATTAGGAACCGGAAATCGAACGTAAAGAATTATAGGAGGAGTGGTCTCTAATTTCCCATAACCCCATAATTTGTATAATGAGCTTCCCACATGAACGGTGCAAATGGAATGGAACAGGAAAGCTAGGGTTCAGGTAGTGCAGAGCTGCCTATACACCCCAGCACGTTTCACTGCATTCATGATGCCAGGAAGCAGTGACCTATTAATGGCTATTGTGCCTATCTTCTCTATCTTTTCTAGCCCATTCAACGATTTCTTGCATGTATATGCGCTTTCCACCCACACCACTAAAAATGAGCGTCAGCCCGTCGCTTTGTGCCTCTAGCATCACCAGTTCAAACACACAGTACAACGATCTGCAGGGTGAGTAGACTGGAGCGAACTCTGTCGTCAGCTGCTGCCTTGGGTCGCGCTGTAAGCCAAAAAAGCCTTCGTTTTCATTTCCATGCACCTCAGGAGCGATCGAGACCGCAGCGCTTCCCCCTTCATCTGTTTTAACCCTTCGGCCGTTCACAGAGGAATATCTTGTGTGCAGTTCAATGGATTCAGACGGCACAACATCTCCCCAGGAGCAGTCAGCTAACCCAGCAGCGTTGGGTTCCTTTGAGTTGCCGCATAATCACAGAGAGGGCCAAGGAGTACTACTGTCACCTTCAACACCCTCCTGGTCTCCTTCTCCCCTGCTCTCTAACTGTGAACATCTCAGCAAACAAAACGAATCCAGACTCAGCACAGAGGGGGAACGCACCCTGCAGACCCCCTTATCGAGGGATTCCAAAGCGCCGCGAGAGTCTCTCCTGTTGAACTCTCCAGAGGGTGAGAAGAGGCAACGGCGGAGACTGAACTGTCAATTTGTTAAACTATATAAAATGGCATGCAGCAGCAATTTGTCTCTACTTCGATGCCAACACCCGACTATGGGGGCTGGGCAGAGTACGTCAATTAAGAAAATCATCAATTAGCCCTTCTCCTTAGACCCTTCGATGCATGCAATTGTATGCATGTAGCATACTCAATCCATTCATGCAACCGAAAAACATCCTTTTTCTCAGCGCGACGCCGACACCACGGTTCTGCTGGAGTTGCATCAGGGTACGTGGCTGTTTATGCAGCGTATTGTGCTTCTAACCCACGTTGCACCCTTGTGTTGCTGCTCCTGCTTTTACAGAAGAAGATTTATGCTCTCTCTCCACGCAGCTGCCCCGCAGCTGTCCAGTTGTGTGGATACCTGAACGAGGGGCCCCAAAGGCAACGCTGACACGTGAGGGCTTTTCTTTTTAAGCGGCGTCGTTGAGCTGTCTGTGCATCTCATGTTGTTGGCGTTCTTGCTGTGGGACGGTTGTCGAGCAGTTCTTCAGGCGGTGCTCGCCCAGCAACAGATTCAAATAAAAAGTATTAAACAGAGATATTATGATCAAGAACCAGCCACCTCCTTCCTTCGTTCTCTGCCTGCAGAACAGCTCATCGGGTTCAATTGCTTGGATTTCTCTTCAGGTATGGCTGTCGCATTTTATACCTTCTGTTGTCAAACAAAACAGAAAACTGCGTTTTCTTTCCCCTGTCTCCTCCTCACCTCCTCTCTCGATGTGGGTATACAGACGAAGAGAACGTCGTTTTGTGCACTGTAAGAATTTGCTACTCTTTTTTCTCTTTCTTTTTTTGAATTCCATATGATGAACTCCTGCAGCTTTCCGGCCTCATGGCGGTGTGTCGCCTTGCTGCTACAGCCTTCCCGCCTGCTTACGCGCTTTTGTTTATCTCTAAAAACAATAAACCCCTCAGGCACTGTCTTCTACTTCTTCGCCTTCTCTGCCGCTGACCAGAAGGACCCGCCTTTGCCTCTCTAGGCAAAAAGGCGTCGCGATCAGCAGAGGGGGGCTGAGGGGCTTGCAGCTCTTCGGCTGTCTGTCTGCTTTTCAGTCGCACCAAACTAACTGCAGCAGCCTCTTCTCCTTGTTACACCCCTTCACCTCTAGCGCTGCAGGCAGCAGAGTCGGTCAGATAGAGCTATTTCTGGTGTTAGGCTGGCAATTCGTTGGTTTCTTCCTCTCCTCGTTTTTGTCCCTTGCGGGATTCATTGACTCTCATTGACGCTCTTTCCTGCATCAGCTACTGCGAAACAACATACGACGCCCGCTGGACTGCGAACAGCAAATTCAACAGCGTCTGGTGCGCTTTTCGTTTCTGCTGCTGCTTCTCCCTCACTGCAGCCTGCTGCTGCTGCTGTTGTTGTTGCTGCGTGTGTTCTCATTTCAGTCTGCAGGACACTGTGGAGCTATTCGTGGATCAGTATCACACCTCAGCAAAACTCAAGGCAAAACTGCAAGGCACAGCGGTGATCTGCTGATTTTGCTGCTGTTGCTGCTGGCGCTGGTGTTGTTGCAGCTGCTGCTGCTGTTGGTCCTGATGGGTTTGGTGCTGCTGCTACTGCTGTTAAGGCTGTTGGTTTCAGTTCAGCTGCCTCATCTGCTGCAACTTTTAGGACAGACTAATGGCGGCCTACGAGTCGCTCCTCAGCCCCATCCCCGAAGTACTCTGGCTGACTGTGCAGTGGCTGTCTATCATCTTCATTTTTATCACTCATTTTGCTTGGCGTTTGGTTTCCTTTGGACGAGCTTTCTTCTTCCCCTTCATATTATTAATAGCTTTATTACTACTATTGCTTAATGCATTTTTAAAGCAGACAAGCCGAACGGAGAAGGCTGTGGCGGAGCGCCTCGCCTCTGCAGTGAGGCTGCATCGAGAGTTGGGAACTTGTGTTGGGATCGCCTACATTTTGTCTGAGTAAGAGGGGCAAGTGTTTGTGCTTAACAACATAGCAAAGAAAATAACGGCAACAAACAGACTGGGCAATGCAGTAGAAATTGTGCCTGGTAAGGGGTGTTGTTTATTTCTTTCGTTGGTTCAAATGATGAAGAGAAACAAACAGCTGGCATTCAACAAGCCAAAGAAGTGCTGCAAGAAGACAAAATAGACGAACTTAGACGGCGCATATCAAAACATATCAACATTCCTCCTGCAACAACAGGTGCGTGTTGCACTTTTGGTTTTTTCTTTATAACAAGTGCAGGCCATATCAATTTTCATTAAATAAAGACATTCCAGTGAACTGTAATTTATTCACTTCGTCTTTATGTTCAATTCTTTACCTTTTTTCATTAGGGAAACGGAAGGCCCCAGGAGCCAACAGCAGCGTTTCTCTGCTAATGTATGTTGCAACTTTGTTGATGGATTGCCGTCATTGGTCGCAGAAGATATTCATTTGTTCGATTTTATTCATACGTTTCCCTGCATTTGCTTGACTGTGTTCTCTTGTTCTGTCCTCTTATCGGATTTTGTTTATTTGCTTTTATTCTCCTCCTTTTCTTTCTTCATTTGTTTGTTTGACTCTATTGTTTGTTTTGTTCTTTCCGTATGTTTTTCCCTGTTCCTTTGGTATAATTATCTACGTTTGTTCAAAGGCGTTCAGCAAACAAGGAACTCGAGGAGAAGATAAAATTTGCAAAGAGGAATTTGGACGAGACCAACGCAAGTCCTTGATGCCTTGTTGTTGCTGCTGTTTCTGTGGTTGTTCCTGGCGATATTGCTGTTGTTCTGGTTGTTGTTGCTCCTGCTGCCGTTGCTGCTGTTGCTGCTGCCGCCTACAAACAAGTGGGCGTTTGGTGCATTTTTGTTTACGTTGTTGATATTTGCTTTTCTTTCGCAGACCCTCTGCGGACGCCTAATGGTGTCCATAGAAGCACAGTGGTGAGGAGAAAAACCGCAGCACAGCTAAGCAAGGAAAGCATTAAAACGTGTTGTCGGTTGTTGTCTGTCTTCAGTCGGGGCGTGCAGATTCGTCGGGAGTGGAGGTGCGTTGCTACCGCCCAATGTTCAGTCTTCTGCATTCAATTAAATAAATGCGTGTTTTGTATCCTTGCACAGCTCCGCATACGGCAAACACTTCAGTGTAGCCACCTCACAGGCCCCCAAAGTTGGGAGTCTTGTGCAGGAGTTCACGGAGTTAAAGAGAAGAGGAGATCAGGTTCGTTTTTATCATTTCTTCCCGTTAAGAGGCAGCTGGTTTAGTCGGTATTCGTTGAGGCTTCATTCATAAGCTGCTGCGGATGAACGGCAGGCAATGCATACATGCGGCTGTCTCTTTTAGTTCAATAATTACACTGGGGAGAAGAAATATTTGTATTGCTGCTGTGGTCTTCAGGTTTATTTCACGGACATTCTTCTTTCCGGCAAGTAGTAAATTTAGAAGCAGAACAGCAGCAGCTGATTAATTGCGGCTGTTTAAATGACTTAACTGCAAGTATTATTTGGTTGTACGCGTACCCATTTGTGGATGTTCGTTTTTGCACTCGTTTCAATCGTCCGTATTTATTCTCACTTTCATTATTTATATTTTGGATTATATTGTTTGTCTACAGACGCCAATGTGACGGCAAAGAAACTTGAAGAGGATGTTGTGGTGCTGCAGTTGCCTGTCCTCGAGGGTCTGAAGGTGAGGTCAATATACGCCATAAGAGCAAGCCTGCTGTAAAACAAACACCTCCACTTCATCAGGACTGTCTCTTTTCTGATGCACACTGGATATGGGCGGTCTACAACGCTCTAGTAAGCAGCGCAGAGAGAGCTTATTTGTTTCTCTGTGCACGCCTCTGCATGCTTTTGTTTGCATACTCCTGCTGGTTATGCGTGCACTCGACAGGCCGCTCTTACTCTTAAGAATATGTGCGTTCTATGAATAAGAAAGTTTCTATATATATGTTCGTTGTCGTTCTGTATTTGCTTCGACACCTGTGTTTGAACAGCGGCAGAATAAGATCAAAGCAAAGCGCGTAAATGTATAGCACGTGGAAAAACAAATAAGAAATAAATGCATGTGATAACCACAAGCTGTTGCCTGCCTCAGCCCTCGACTATCTTTTATTAGAATTCTCCCTCATTGTTCTTTCGCAGGCATTCATAGACTTCCTCATGGCCCTGGCTCTTTGGGTAAGCGGAAGACTGCATTCTTTAGCTTCTTTGTTTTCTGTTTTATTTCTGTTTTCTATCACCAGGCTTCGCATTTTCAAGGAGTCAATACACCGGTGTGCCGTCCTCAATTTACCAGCAAAAGGTAAGGGGACAGTCGATGCACAAAGGATATGATTGTTGGTTTAAGCAGATGCACTAATAAATACCTTAATAACTACGGAGATAAACAGAAAAATAAATAAATAATTAAGTATTAATACGCCCACCGTTCTATCAACTTCTCTACACGCTCAGCACGCGAGTGGTTTCCGCGGTTCATCCTTTAGTAACGACATCCGGTGAATTCACATTGAAACAAAAATATAAAAAGGCGCTCAGTTATTGGTCTTTTTCGCTGTTATTACTGCCGTTCGCTAGAATGGCCTTAATAACTGCGAAGAAGTCTAATAGTAGCTCTGCCTTCTAATTGCCGAATCTGTCGTTGCTGCTGCCAATACTGGTGGTGCTGTTGTTGCTGCAGCTGCTGATTTCATGTTGCTGTTGATGCTGCAGAGGCTGGCGTTATTGCTTCAGCTGCTGCCGCTGCTGTTGATATTGCTACAGCTGCTGAGCTTGTTATAGCCGCAGCTGCTGATGTTCCTTGGCTTCTGCAGCTGCTGAGGTGGCAACTGCTGCAAGCGTTTCTGTTATCGTTATTGATGCAACTGCGTTTAGGGAGCGGAGGGTTTTCTGGTTTTGACTTTGAACAGAGGGAAGACAAAAACAACGGAGTTCTTCTTATGGGGCCGAACGGGTCCGGGAAGTCTTCTTACCTCCGCACCCTCGGCCTGATGCATGTCTTAGCACAAATGGGTTCTTTAGTCCCTGTAAGGCTGTCCTTAACACTGAAAGCGCTCTTTTGTTCGTTTGCCTTCTTTCTTGAGTATTGTTTCTGTTGCTGCTGTCCTTGTTCTTCTTATTCTTGTTCTTCCTTTTCTTTTCTTTCTGAGGTTGCTGCTGACTTCTGGTGTGATTGTTCCGTCTGTTTGTGTTTGTTGCTGCATCACTTATCTGCTTTTTCTCCTCCCAGGCCATATCAGCAGAAATGCGCTTAACAAATTCGATTCATGTTTGCTCCCCCTCTCTGCTGAAAGGCAGCAACCACGAAGAATGCACGCAACTCATTGACGCCGTCAGGGCCGCAACAGCGAAAGACAGAAAATATCAAAACAACAAGCATAGAAGAAGCAAGAACAGAAATAACCGATGCAGCCTAGAGGAAAACAAAGACGAAGCCAACGACGCCTCCCTCGTGAGTTCACTACTTTTGTGCCCTTTATAACAACTGCAGCTTGAAACAACAGGAAAGAGCAACAACACAACTCAGCAAACAGCTAACTAAACAAACAATTTCATTTCGGTGTGTGTTTGCAGATTTTGATTGACGAGATATTTCGATCGGTGCCGCACGCCGAAGGCTTTTCAGTATGTTGGGCGTAAGTCTGTAGGAAAAATAATCAGAATACTAATTTATGTACTCCTACTTCAAATGTTATTTGAATATGCTGCTCCCTTCATAATGACCACTATCTATGTGTGTGCTAAGAATATTAATTTTAAATGCACTAAATTCAGATGTGGTTAGACTGCTTCCCCTTTCTTGAAAGTCTATCTCCACACAGAATATTAATTTAAATACTTTTTAAGCAGCCTTTGAATATGTTCTCATTTACAATTAATACTCACCTTGTTCATATATTACTAAATTAAACACTTTTCATTTCAAAATTATTTGAGTTCGTTCTTTCATGCATAGTCGAACCCTTTTTTCGCATATAAGTCTAAGTAGATTTAAATATTATTTGAATTTGTTTTTCATTATAATAAAACTTCAACAGGGTCCTCGAAGAGTTCGTCCGCCAGCCGAAGACTTTCGTGTTGTTTGCCACGCATTTCACAGAACTGCAAAACCTGAGGCGAAATAACCCCTTTATAGAAACCCATTTCTTCTGTTGCTCCAGTTCGTCTTTTCCCTTCCTCTTTTTATGTTTGTTCAGCATCAACCAACTGCCTCTCGCTGATCATTACAAATGCTTTTTGTCTGCAGCAGGGGAGAACGGCCTCACGCCTCTTTTTAAAATTGCAAAAAACAGCGAAGGTAAGCAACAGAAGACTACCACACAAAAGATGTCTGTATACTGGAACGGGACAGAGGCAGAAGCCGCCCAGATGGCCTACGGAGTATTGGGATCCAAAGGAAAACTGAACAAAATTATAGTTGAAGAGGCAGAAGCATTCATTGCCGAGGCAGATGGGGCACTCATGCCGCATGCGCAGTGTCTGCAGACAGTTGAAATAACAAGATGTGAGAATAGTTCTAAACCCTCAGCGCTACTCTCTAAACACAAATGCACTCTGCTTCGTTCAGGGGCCTACGAGATCATCCATTTGCTGGAGAACGCTGTCAGCAGCTTCAGCATCCACAGCACCACAGATAGTAGGAACAGCAGCAACACCAGCAGCAGCAACAACAGCCACAGGCGGTTTTTGCGTCTTCTAGAGGAGGCTCAGAGGGTGATAGAGGTGGTTTGTGTGGAGACAGATGCGTGATGTGCGCCAACAACTAGAAGAAAACTTCTGTGCATCATTTTTCTCCTTCATTTCATCTGCCACGCAAAAGACAACTAATATGATTACCGCAGCAGCAAACAGGCCTCTGTGAAGGCAGCTGCAACAGAAACAAAAGAAGGGGCATCGGGCTAAGACTTACAATAATGATTTCTATAGTAATAGTGAATGTGTGAACACCAGCAATAACACAATAATAATACTGAACTAAAATCCTACTAACAAAAATAAAGATTATTATTGTTAAAACTGGATAAAATGAAAGGGCTAATACGAAATGGCACGTATTCTAAACAGATGATTGAAGAATCGTTGCTGTAACGAACAGCCGGGGGATTTTCAGCAAAATAATAGAGAGAAACAAAGAAAAGGGAGACAACTGCAGGGAGACAAGCAAAGCGAAAGAAAACAGACAAAACGTTCCCGTCTCTCCTCCTGTCAGCTGACGTTCAGAAAGAACAGACAGTGTTGGCCTGTCTGCCTGCGGCCGTCACTACACCTTAAAAAAGAGGATTAAAATGCATTACTATCTCGCTTTGCGTCTAGATAAAGAAAGGATAAATGCTAGAAAGGAAAGAAAATACTGAACAAGAGAAGCAAGAACCAACGAAGGAGCCGCAGAGCACAAAGGAGTGAACGAACACATCAAATGCACTTCCTCGCTCTCCCCTGTTCTTCCTTTTTCCCTTCTTCTCCTTCGTTTCTGTTTCTCTCTTCATTTACTTAATCCGCAGCTTCTGCAACGGAAGCCCTGATGATCTTCACGTCGTGTAGCGGTCTGTCCGTTTTGGTGGTTTGCACGAGGGAGAGTTTCTTTAAGGTGTGCATGCCTGCAGAAACTCGGCCGAAAATGGCACTTTTTCCGTCTAAAGTTGGCGCCGGCCCCAACAAGAGCAAAAAATGCGATGTGTTCGTATCCGGCCCGCAGTTCGCCATCGTCAGAACACCCGCACCGGTGTGCCGTAAACCTAAACAAAGACAGAAGTATTTATATGCATATATATATATATATGTACTTATCCATATTTATTTCTATGTAAGAAAAATAACAGAAAGTA